CCCGATCTCCAGCATGAGCGCTCGGACCTGACAGTGGAGGGCCACTCAAAGGAACACACAGCAAAGGGATGCTGTTCTGGTGTTAAACAATAAAAATCATACCACTTTCTGACTAAGCATGTGTAACTCCACACACGTGTATACAACATATGCTGGTTAAACACACACACACACACACACACACACACACACACACACACACACAGAGAAGAGGTATCAGTGAGGTATCTGGTTAATGATGATGACAGAGCCCTAATGAAAAGCAGCACATGAAGCATAACCAAGGTGCTGTGGTCAGAGAGCATGCAGGTATGTGGCTGGTTTGGCTGATGATTAATGAAAAAAAAAATAAGATGAAGTTTTACAATGGCAAGATTTGAGAGGATATCGTAAGGCTGCTGTTTAATCGCTTTATGTATTTATGGGCCTGTTTGCAAATTACTGCAGATATGACGGAAGTTGTGTCAGCGCACTTACTCCGCTGCAATTCCACTTTTTCCGAGTAATGAGTGCAATTCTTCACAGCTCTGAAAGTTCCCATTAAATAAGCTAAAATGTCCAACTTGTCCATTAAAGGGGTAGTCCATCAGCTTTACACACAGGTCAATTGGAAGTCTGCTTACCCTCTCATATAACCCATAAGTGCTTCCTGACTTCTCACCCATAGCGGCAGCGGGAAATAATCCATAGATAAACAGAAAAATCACTGTTAAAAACAAAAACTAACCCTGTTGAATGTGTGCCAATGCCACTGTAAAGGCTTCCAAAGTTTCTATATAGAGACTAACTAATACTCTTCCTACAGTGCCTTGCACAGCTCATGTGGACAGCTTTAGAGATATTTGGACAATAGTGGTGATTTAGCTCAGAGTCTGCTAATTTCTACATAAAGCCTACATTACAATTATGTATTTGAAAGATATTAGTGTTTAACTGGCAGAGTAGGCCAAGCAAAAGATGCTATTTGCTGGATAATGGGAAACTCGGAGAACATTTCAGAATATTTTGGCCTGTAGTTTTTAGTTTTAATCTGGCATGACAGATTAAACTTTGAAGTGCACCATTAAATTAACTCTACAGTGTATCACCTGCTCTTCTCCACACACACAATAACCATGACAGAAGAGATGCCTGCAGAGCTATCAGATTCAGTGGTCATACTTAAGGCATAATTCACAGTCCCCGAATAGAAAATGTGATCTCCAGCTGTATGTTTCTCACAGCTCTGCGCAGGTTAGGTATTCCAGCTATGCAGTGGCTGCTTTGATTTCCCACACTTCGAATGGAGTCAGTGAGGAGCAAAAAAAGGGAAGCAATGGAGGAGGCAAAACAAGCCAGCAAAACACTGGCACAAGTGAGGACATGCAGTGTTGCTTGTCATTCTTCTTTGTAGTATGTAAAACACAGGGTGAATAAGTAATGCAGAGAGTTCTAATATCATGGGGACTGAGAAACTACTTGTGCAAATTGACGTGCATTGGTTGAACACATCTCCCTCAGTGCTCGATTTATTATACAATCTGTATGCATCATGCTTCAAGTCTGGACTTTGGCTTTAACAAAGCCAGTGCTCCAAATAAGTGGGATGTGCAGGCATTCAGAACACGTCACACCTTTTTCAGTGAAAGAAGTATACTTCATCTTTGGTATCGCTGCTCAGTAACCACTGCTCCTCTGGTTGCACAACTATGATGTCTCATAACGAATCTCCAGCTTTCTTTGTACTACATTACTCCTCCACGACACCATCAATCCACTACTTCCTGGTACGTGTTGTCCTGGGATCTCCGTGAGGGAAACCTGATACTGTCACGGAGTTATTCATAGTTACTCTATCCGGAAGGAGGTAGAGCTATCACAGTAACTAATACTCCTACCTGTACATTTAGATATCAGGTATTTATGCAGCTGCTCTGTGGACAGATGGATCATTACAAATAAGATCACAGAACAAATAAATATCAATCTATGGAGAAAATCTAATTTAAAAAGTGTATAGCTTTAAGCAAAAGCCCACTTCTCATTTGTTTATATTGAATAAGAATTGCTGTCTGTGAAAGCAATCAACAGTTTCCAAACATAACATGTCTCAAGGATAAGATTAAGAAAAACATGGAGAAAGACAAGCAGCTGAGGGGTTGTGGTGTTCTGGAGAGAGTCAGGTTTGTTGATGATAAGCCTGGATGTTCACCACGCAGCCGGTGCCATGGTGTTCCTGACACAGAACGATACAAGAGCGGGAGGAAGGGGAGTGCACGTGCATGTTTCAGTGTGAACTTGTGTAGATGAGAAAAACCAGGGGTGGAGTAAAAGAAAAGACATGAACTATACAGAAGAGAAAGAAATGCAGCAATACAGAGCGAGAGAAGAAAGGAAAAGAGGAGGAGGTGGCGACAAAAACTTTCAAAGGAGTAAATTCCCGGAGGGTTACTATTCCTGGTGTAGTGAGCATACCTCCCTGGCACAGCCCAGATAGAAGTGCCTTAGCTCTGCTGATAAGAAAAAGAAATGGAAAGAGGTAGGTCAAAGGGAGAGTGCTGAGAGCAGAGGACATAATAGGAATGGCAAGAAAAGAGTGAAGCTGTCCACACAGTGTACCGACATGAGTCAAGTGTTTGGGTAAGGGAGCTGCTAGAGAGACCTACAGAGACATGAAGCAAGTAGGAGCAAAGACAAAGCCTTGATGCATAACTGAGCTGACTATATGAGGAATTACTCATGAAATCCGTAATTCATAAGACTCCAGTCATGACCATTACTCGGCTTCTAGGCCTGCTCATAAAATCTCACTAATAACTTCTCTACTATACTCATCAGTCCTGCTTTATTACTCTGCCATGACAGGAGCCGTTTATCAAAAAATATAGCAACTAAGATCTACGCTGCAAGAGAAACCAGCTGCAATGTAGCGGCATGTAATTTACTATTAACACAGCTCACTACAGGGCTGGAGAATTAACACACGTTAACTGCCAGTTCATGTAAAACTCATGTACAGCACATTTCTGTGCATTTGCATCATCAGTGCAGTCTGAAGCAATTCCATCATTTTCTTTCATGCTGACATCGACACCTCTCCTTCCTGTTATACCTCCCCTCCCCCTCCAATTATCCTTCCCTGTGCCCTTCACTCTCTTGATCTTGGGACAGGGGCAGGTCAAATGGGGATGTAGGTTTGGGGTGTGTCTGGGGTGTGGTAGCTAGATCTGGGTCTGACAAATGGGGCCTTCTACACAGCCTTGCTATTTGTAGCTTCCAGGAGGAGAAGGCAG